AAGGAAACTAGAGAATAGCCTAACAGCAGAAGAGTGCAGGCACTTAACATTAAAAAAGCTCAAGCATTGTTAGGCACAAGAGTATCAGTTTGCAAACAAATTAAAGGCATCCTAGATACTCCTACAGAGGTTTAATATTTTACCTAAAGTGCTATCTGCTCTTCATTACTCTCTTCCTCAAAGCTGGCACTTAGTCACAGTCAGCTGAAATTGCATTTGGAGAGGGGCGATAACTACACAAGTACTAAAGGCAGCCATAAAGTGTCAATAAATTGCATAAGCAAGAGGCTTCAGCTGTCGGGGAGTGACACCAAGATGGATTGTCCTACGTCAGAGGGTTTCTTAGACAAAGCTTTGAACTAGATAGGAAACCAAAATTAGACTGTAACGGAGAGATTCCATTCTCAGTGGACATTCTGGTTGGGACACTAAATTAATTTACCTTGACCAGTGTGTAGAGCCTCATCTGTTACATTGTAGGGCTATAATGCAGTTGTCAAGATGTACTTGTACTCTTATAACTTTGTTTTCTGTATCTTACTGAAGCACGCTGCTTACGTACAAAGCATAATTCAAACAGACTCAAAATAATCTTTAGCAAAAGCAGACTACTCGTTCAAGAATAGAGAAAGAAACAGGGAGGATTGTGGATTTTGTCCCCAACAGATGACATATTTAGCAATTTTTACTTTTGTTCTTTATATTAGTTTCCCCAGATGCTAATGGCACGATACGAAGGTGCAGATAGCTTACTTGCTGGGTTTTGTCCTGCTTAATCAGGGGGAAGGGAAATGCTCTTTTTCCAGCCATAAGATATGTCTCTTTCTTCTTATGTTCTAGGAATGCCAGCAGAGTGTGAAATCCAGTATACCTGTCTTGAAGTGCCAGAGTCAATTAAATATGACAGGTCCTAGCCGCCTGTATCCCCGGAGCAGCTGCAGCAGCAGTGAACTCTCCCTCTCAAGTGCTTGCAGTGAATATTCCAGTGGTTCCTCCTACACTTGGAACGATGGGAAAACATGCAGCAAAAGGGTAAATCAAATGAATTTCCTTCATTCATTAGCTTAAGTTCATCTAAAATAAGATTAATTGATGGCTGACTGTTTTCTGAAATATTTTTTTCTCCTCTCCTCTATATTTAAAACAGTTGTCACTGCACTCACTAAGAAGAGTTCTCTCTCGCGGTCTCCCTGCATCTCACTCCCCTTCCTCTTCCTTTTTTTTTTTTTTTTTTTAAATACCATTCCTTTATCGCTTTGATTTGCTCACAGTTTCCTCATTTATTCTGACATTTCTTCTGTCCAAATTGTTCTTCTCCTATTTATCTTAATCCTTCCATTCAGATTGTTCATCTTGCAGCTTTTAGGTGCACTGCACCCTTGACACTTCTGTGCAATCCTTTATTGAGGAAGAACATTGCTGTTAATAGCAATGGATGAAATGTAATGCACTGTGCAAGTCCGAAATCTCTTTACTGAAATGGTAACCAGCAGTTTTGAGTAATATATGAGTTTTATTCTGTCTTAACAGTCATCCATAAGCTGGGATAAAAGAATAAGCATTGGTTCTTCTCTGCCAAGCAACCTCTCAAGTCCTGCAGATGATCTACCTCCAACTCGTATCAAGGAAAACCATATCTTACGAGGGCTGAAGAAATTACAGAAACAAAAAATATTACTTGAGTCACCTTCAGTAATGTCAAAATGGGGTTACAAAGATTGCATGAACTCCAACGAAGGAATATATTCCCCTGGAGTTAAGTGTGGCAGCCATAAAGAACAGACTCGTTGTAAGCCAATGGAAATGGGAAATATTTGCATTGAACATAACAAAACTTTCTCTTATGATTCAGATTCACATGACGACATAGATGACGACTCTTCATCTTTACTGCTGCTGCAAGAAGCACCAAGCGAAGACTGCAGGATCTGTTGTAACAAATTAACTCACAGTGTTTCTGACAGTCTATTTGATTGGGACCCTAATAGGAAACATTTGCCTGAAAGAAGCTCATATTTTAATTCAAAAGAAAGACCTGAAAAATTGACGAGTTTTGTCAATGGATTTCAGGCAGAGGTAAAATCATGCAGTAGAGCAGAGCTGCCTGAGTTACAGTTAGATCAAAGCCTTGTTAATATAGGCTGGAAGGACCTTAATTTTCAGCTTTCAGATACTGATGACAATGAAGTCTTGGATGAATTGCATATAGAGAGCAGTGATGAGAGAAGTCCATCAGATTTGTTAGCAACTCCTTTTCCTGAGAAGTACACGAAGAAAGCTGACACGCTTGCAGTGACAGAGAGTTCTCGGTTTGTATCTACCGACAAAGAGGAAAAACAGTTATCTGCTCACTCAGATATTAGGCCAAAGACATGTAATTTTGTTAAACAACAAAAGGTCATAAAGAAGACCTCTTCTGAAGAGTGCATTACTGTAGTATTTGATGCTGAGGATGGTGAGCCTATTGAATTCAGGTCACATCAAACTGGAGTTGTCACTGTAACAAGAAATGAAATTTCAATCAACCAGCCACAAACTAGGTCCAGTGCAGAATATACTGAACTTATACCTCAGGGAATAACTGATTTGCAGACAGGAACCGGTGTTAGAAAGTACACTGCTTTAGAAAGACCTGAAGATGAAGCTGAGAAAAGGTCTCCTGAAGAAAACATAGGGAATAAAAATGCAGTTGTCCCCATGACCTGCAGCGAATCTTCACGCTGTGGGAGAGCGATATTGCAAAATGCTCCACAACAAAAACTAGTGAAGCCAGTGTATGATATAGCATACAAGGCCAATCCCAGCTCCACTGGGCATGCAGGAATCAGTCAAAAGCCAAACTTGACTAAAATACCCAGCAGAGGGAAATTTTCTCCTCAGAAAAACACGATGACAGACAGTGAGGAGACACCTGTAACCGCATCAGTGGGCCCTGCAACCCTTGAAAAATCACCTGCTCTGCCACCTGTAAAGCTTTCAAGATTGAAAAAGGCACAAAGTCCACCTCGTAATTTTGACTCAAAAGTCACCTTCCAGCTCCCAAAGCCCCTTGCCCACCCTCTGCCTGGCCCAAAGCCTCTGGGCAGAGGTGATGGGACAAAAAACCCAAAGAGTCAGAACCCAGGATCACCGCTATTGCCTCAGCACCTTATAGAGCCCAGCGACTACGGAGAACCTCCCACTAGAGATATTCACTGCAGTCCAGCAACTGTAGACACCCAATCACCTTCACCACCCCTTCCTCCAGGCAGGTCAACTTCGCTGCTAATTAGGCCTAATTATGCTCATTCACCACCTGTATGTGTAAAGTTAGGAACAGCGGGTTCCAGTGAAAAAGCAAAAAATTTACTTAAATCATCACCGTTAACAGGAACTGTGAACTCTGGCTTTCATAATCAATCTAGTCATGAAATGCAAGCAAAAAATGTATCCTCTGGGGCCAAAATCGAATCATCTTACCTTCAAGAAAATGCAGAAGCAATTATGCAAAATAAATGCATATCTCAGCAACCCCATAGCACATGCCAAGGGCTTTCCAAAGTTCCCACAAAGCAGGTTTGCCCAAAAAACCCTAATCAGCTGGCTCTCTGCAGGAATCGTGAATTTTCCAACACAGATTTTCGAACAGCCAGGTCTTTTTCTCTAGGTTGTCCATCACTGGAAACAACTTCTTCACCAGACACACACGCTAGCAAAAAGGATACTTCCAGTGACAGTGGGGTAGATCAGCCACAAAAGATGCCAAACGTTCTCCCCGCATCCTCTCAGCGTCACGCACCGAGCACAAGCGAGCCTTTACTATCTCAGGTAAACAGTTCCCCGTTGTCAACGCTGTTTCACGGTAACGACGCTGCAAATGCTACCCAACACTCTAATGAGAAAGGGATGAAAACCCGTCGCCCTGTAGGACTGAAATTATTTGTCAGATCTCCCCAGCTTCTCCGAAAGAGCTCTACCGTACCGGGGAAGCAGGAGAAAGACAGTATAAACGCAGCTTCCAAAAGCAATGTGTGTCCAAGTAAGTACAAGCAGGATGAATCTATGTGTATAAGCACCAGAGGCACAATGGACACTGAATTAAAAGACTCTAAGTCTGATACTGAAATAAAAGATAATTTTACCATGGGACTTAGTATGGGTACAGCATCACCTCATTCACATGAAAACTGCAGCTTGGTGGTAGACAGAGTAGATGGATTAGAAAACAAATCAGTTAAGAAATCTGTTTCTTCTAGCAACAAGTCACACTTGAAACCAGCTCTGGGCATGAATGGAGCAAAAGCACGTAGCCAGAGTTTTAGCGTTCACATAGGGGAAAAGCCACCTGCCCTTGTGACAGAAGGTCTTGGGAAGGTACGGACTCAGATTATTACAAACACCTCCGACAGAGGAAATTCTCTAACAAGGCAGAACTCGGCCATGGAAGGACTTCAAATCAAGGCCGTTCCCGGCTCGGCAGGGGCATCAGAGACTCTTTCAACTGTTCCTAAACCCGCAGAAAATTCTTATCCTAGACAGGGTTCTCTGGGAAATACGAGCAATTGCAGCAGCCAGCGTGGAAGCCCAAGCAAACTGCCGTTCAGATCACCTCCAAGACTAGACTTGTTTCACAGCGTTTCAAAATGCGAGGGAAACAAACCACTTGCTCAGAAAGATGCGCACATATCTGTCCTGGGTGAGAAAAGCAGTGACAATTTTGAACACGAACCTCTAAATAAAAAAAGCGTTCTCCAAGCAGAGCTGGAATTTGAGGCGTCAGCTACTGTTTCTTGTGAGCAAATTCCGCCCTTGAAGAACATGGATGGGATACAGTGTCCTCAGAAGCTTGAAGCAGTGAAGTCGCAAAGACAGCAAATGTCTTTACAGTTAGCAGAAGCCTCTGAGAAGGTTACCGCTGTTTTGAGTTCACCTGCTCTACAACCTACAATAGAAGAGAAGGTCATGTTATGCATCCAAGAAAATGTGCAAAAGGGTCAGGGACAGAACAAATCTCCCCCTGCAGAGACTAAGCAAAGGACTGGGCCCTCTCTAGCGAGTTGGTTTGGCTTTCGGAAGAGTAAACTGCCAGCACTGAGTAGCAGGAAAACTGATGTTCCTAAAACAAAGGTAGAAAAAAAAGAAGCGAAAGTCTCTGGGTTTGGAATTAAGCAGGCAAGATTAGAGAAAAAAAAGGAGAAGAAGAAAACTGAACACCACTGTGAAATGGAAAATGAAGTTAACAGGAAAGCAGACAATGGTGACAGATTAGATGATGTTTTGAAGAGCAGAGGTATGAAAGCTTCCCAAGACATGCCTGGCCAAGCTGGGTGTGAACAAGCCAAGGGCTCCACCACAGCTGCATACTCCCCAAAAGACAGTTTTATGAAAGAGCTTTTAAACAGGTAAAACTCTGGGACACAATTTGGGTTGTGACATTGTACACAGTAGCTCTACTGGCATCCTCAGCTGCTAAGTTCAATGTGTGTTGCTTTTAGACTAAGACTGCGTGGTAGCAAACATTTGGTATTCTGTCAGGACTTTAATCTCTAAAGGAAAAAAGACTAAGAATGAGATGATAGTTTTCTGTTACTTTGTTAACCAAACCAATGGTCTTTGAAATTAAAGAATGGCAAGTTACATCCAAGTTGATAGAAATTCAAATGATTTTAGAAATCAAGAATCCAGGCAGATGGTGTGAAAAAGTAGAGGATAATTAGGTACATGTTTTAGAGTATTCCATTTCATTTGTTACAACCAGCAAACACGTATTTGGTAACTAGTCAGAATTAATTACATTTACAGCTACCATAACCTTAGGTCATAGAAAAACTTACCAATTACTGTACAGTGTTTTCATGTTTGCCCCC